TAATATCATCTAAACCCAAAGTCCTAAATCCTAAATAGTGCCGTCCGTCTTTTTCCCCTTATCTCGATATCTCCCCATATACCCCTATACACTATAGCCTTCATATCCATATACAAGCCCGAAACCCTAGACCCTAAGCCCTAATCTCTTACCCAAAGAACCTAATACCCTATCAACCCTAACCCTAACCCAAAACCCTATAAACCCGGTAAATCCTAAACCCTAAGCCTTAATGTCCTACCGAAAGACCCCCAAAAGAAGGCGCTGACCCGCCTCTGTGGGCTGCGGTGCCATGCCGGGGGTCGATGACTGCGGCCGGAGCCCTTTTTTTTCCTGGGGTGGGGGGGGTGGGTTGGGGGGAGAGGGTTGAGGATGTTGGGCTTTTCAAATTTTAGTGCTCAGGGGATAGATTTTGGGCTAAGGGGCAAGGATGCAGGCTTAGTGTTGGGGTTAGGGTCTGGTATCGGGATAAGGGGCGTGAAAGGATGAGGTTGAAAGGGTTTAGAGATAGTGTGTGGGGTCTACGGGTTTGGGAGATGCGGTGTGTTCTGGAGGGTCGCTCGGTAAAGGCTAAGATGCTAAGCTTTGATCGTTGGCAGGTTCGACGTGAGGCTCAGCAGTGTGGCAGCGCATATCATACCGGCTGTGCAATGGACTCATTTGCCTCATTTGCCAATGTTCTCCTGAAGCCCAAATTCAAAAGCTGCACAAACCTGGGTTGTTGCTCAGTAGCACTTTACATCTTTCTGTTTACCTGAATCCAGTAAAGACTAAGACTGCTTTGAAAGCTTGGCAGCAAGTATGCGGGCTACCCCTCACGACATCTGTCCGACCAGATATCCGGAAGGTACAGCCAAACATAGAACGGCGGAAGCCCTAGAAGCCGAAACCCTATACCCTAAACTCTAGACCCTAAACCCTGAACCCTAGACCCTAAATTCTGTAGCTCCAGCAGTGCTCCCCCTGGCTGAGACACGAAGTCCGTGACGTCTTCGACGTCTAAAACGTCGAAGTCGTCCAAATACTCAGTTCGGAGCTTTATGTCCAAGGCCGACCTGTCATGGCAAACATAGAGGGACCTGAATATGGTAGTTTCCCAGAATAAGGGTACCCCAATATATGCGTCTATAGACCCCAAATTATTATAGTCCTCATTACGGGACCCCCCAAAAAGTACCCCTAAACTTGGGAAACCCACATATTACCCCAAATATTCTGATCCTTATTATATCATTTGGACCCCAGAAGGGGCCCCCGAATTTTGGTGGGAGACCCCCACATGCTAGGGTTCAGGGACCAGGCCTCAGGGAAGATGGTTCGGGATTCAAGGATTAGCTTTCTAGGGCTCAGGAATTATGTTGTGTAGGGTTAAGGGATGAGGGCTTTGGGTCGTTGACTAGAGATTAGGCCGAGGGTTTCGAAAGCATCCGGGTCTTCTTACCGATTTTCCAGGTTTCTGTGCAGCGGGATCACCCACTGATACGCGTGATAAACTCAGGGCTAATCTGGTCACGGTGATTCCCCTAAACCCTAAACCTGATGCTGCACGAATTCTCGAGACGGACTGCTTCTAGTCAGCCGGAGGTTCTTGGGAGGAGCCTGGTTTTGAGAGATGTCCATCTTTGTGGCCAACAGCTTTCCTTCTTGTGGCGGCTTCGTTGTTGAGTCTGTTCTATCAGTGTCCATGGAGTCAATGAGCATATGTTTTTTGGACCCTAAACCCTAAACCCTAAACCCCCTAAACCCTAAACCCTGGTTGTTGATGTTTGCTGAGTTTCCGGAGCCCCAGTCACAGGAAGCTTGGAGGTCCGGTCCTTTGAGCCTTACTGAAAAGCCGGGATATGTGCCACCCTGCACTCTAGGCCTTCGGTGTTTAGCCCCCAGACCCTAACCGCAAACGATTCCATCCAACATAGACCCTTATAAGTTATAATCTTTACGAGGGATACAGGGATACCTCCAAAAAGGGACCCGAAACGTCTAGACTTCAGAGTTAGTCACCTGACCCTGAACCCATCATCCCCGACAGCCTAAACCACTCCATCTGTGTCCCGCGCTTACTCCCAAAGAGGCCTCTTCCATGTCCCAGTCCATGAAGAGAGGCTGGGCATGGGTTGAGGGTTCATACATAGGGCTTCGGGTTTAGGAGTTTAGGGTGAGGGTTCAGATATATGGGGTTATTTGAGCTATAGTGTAAACTCCTTCAAGGGGGATATATGGGGAATTATATGGGGGAGTATTACAGGGCTTATTAAGGGGGATATTAGGAGTTGAGACCATGGCTCATATGGGGTTATATAGCGGTTGTTCAACAGGGGTTTTAGATATACGGGCCTACATAAGGGTTTTAGAAAAGGCTGAAGCGTTTAGGGTTTAGGGTACAGGGGCGTTATAGTAGAGCGGGGGTAAGGGTTTAAGGTTTAGGCTTTGTATGAGATAAACAGGGGATAGGACTGCATGAGGATTCGGGCCCAACTTCTATGTGCTTTCTGCTTAAGCTTTTTTCTTTTGATGCTGCAGATTGGTATCCCTAAGCCATAAACCCGAAACGCTGCAGATTGGTATCTGACCTTAGGGACCGGGGCTCCTGGAGTTTACCTACCCCCGTGACGTAACATGGCACATCATGAAGATCTTACAAAGGATGTTACGCACTAGTCTGTCACAGGCCCCTCCACCATATAATCCCATTGTGGTAGTTTCAATTTTCTTCTCAGTTATCCCTATATAAACCCGAAATATATAAACCCAACATTATAGTAGTTTCCATTTCTCTCCATTATGTCTATATAACCCCTACATAACCCCAACATTGTAGTAGTTCCATTTTATTTTCCAATTATTCCTATATAACACCTATATAACACGAATATTGTAGTAGTCTCCACTTTATTTTCCATTATCTCTACATAACCCCTACATAACCCCTAATATTGTAGCAGTTCCGCTTCATTTTCCATTATCGCAATATATCCCCCGTATTACCAGACGTGTGTTTGGGGAAGCTTATAGGACAATTATTCCAAGCTCGTCAAAGTTTTAGGCATGCAGTGTCGTCTGGCTCTTGTAGTTGGTGTTTTGCTTTTACGGCCTTGTGCTCGGACATTTTGGTACCGTGGATTGTGCTATTTCTGTATATATATATATTACCGTGGATGGTGCTATATGTGCATATATATATATACACACCCAAGAGGATTTCCCATTCAGTCTGGGTGCCCAAAATTCCAAGCCGTGCCAAAGGAACGTTGTTGTGTTCTTGTGTGGTCTGTGTTCCTGTGAGTTTCTAGTCCCAGGAACTCAAGCCACCTATCCGCCACTAGCTGGAAAGGATGTTGAGAACGGCCGAAGTATGGAGAAGGCTTTTGTACTAAAGTGCTACAGGAATTATTAGGGGAGAATCCTCATCTTCATCATTAATGGGCTTTTATATTCGTTTTGCCCTCTGTGTAGCGTCAGTTAAGTTCTGGCTGTTGGCAAGCTGAAGAAAACTTACTCTATTACCTCCGCAAGAGATTTCAAGCACCTGTGCAAAGATTCAACATCCGCGCTTCAGGGCTTTGAGTTTGCGGTTCAGGGGAGCAGAAGCAAAAACCAGATCCCTGCAACACGCAATACCTGTGTTTTCAGGCAGAGTTCTCTGGATAGCCTGTCTCCAACACAAAAATTATCCATCATCTTCCTTGCTGGATAGTGTACTCCGCCCCAAAATTGGCTCTCCATTTCACCCCAAAATCATTTCCTACAACATTTCAAGCCTAAACCCGAATCCCTTAACTAAACTGGATTGTTATTAAGGAAGTTAATCAAGTTACCATAATGTGGGTATATGGTAAATAATAGGGATTCCTCATTATAGTAACTAAATTGAAGTGCCTTAACAGCAGCCCAGTAAGAAGGCCCTGAATGTTATTCTATGAAGCCCTGTTCCCCTTCTTGTTGCACGTACGATGCTCCGGATATTTCCTGCTGAGATCCTTACAACTGTATAAGACCTTGCACATGTTGTAAAAACCTGGAAGCCGTTCTTGAAGGGCTTCATGATGTGACAGAAATCTCAAAGCTCAAGGGCGAGAATGTTTCTCTGCATTTCTCACATTCCATGCAGTTCTACCTCTTACCCTAGTCACTCTAGTCTTCGGCCGCCGCAGCAGTCCACTTTCTCAGTATGACTTTGCAGGGGTAGGTTCGAAAATTGAAGCCTCGCGAATTGATTCCCATAAGGGCCCTGAATCTACCCTACCCTAAACCCTAAACCCTAAACACTAAAACCTAAACCCTAGTTTAAGCTCAAACAGGCCTCAGCGCCCTTACTGGATCGCGCAAGACAACCGCGTCAGTCGCGGCCATGGTTGACGTGCGGGCTGGCACGCTTGCTGTTGGCTGTTGGGGTTTAGGGGTTTAGGGTTTAGGGTTTAGGGCAAAGCCTTCATGCAGGTCCTTCCTCAGGCTTCTGTTGCAGTAGCGGTCGACCCCAGAAATCTTGCACATAGCCTGCTTCAGAACCGCAAGGAATTATAGCCCATCTACTGTAGAAACTGTAGACGCCACTATGCTGCACACCCTGATCCTTAATCCTGCTAGCTTCCGACCTCAACCCCAATCCGGCAGCTAAGGAATTCAGATTATATTATGGTAGTTTCCATTTTCTTCTCCATTTTCCCTAATAACCCCTATATATACCCTATTATAGGTTTTGCAACTGGGGAATACGCATCCTAAACTTCCATCTCTCAGCTTCGCGTGACACGCAAACCTTCACTCCAAGCCCTAAACCTCGATCTGCCCATGAACAAAAGAGGGTAAACCCTAGTTGCAAAACCTATAATGGGGTGTGTGTATATATATATATATATGGGGGTTATATAGGGAAAATGGAAAAGAAAATGGAAACTACCATAATATAGTCTGAATTCCAGACGAAGACCATGCTAACCTAAGCAGCCTAAGCCATGTCATCCCGATCCATGAGCCGACGGAACCCAGCCTCAGCCGGCCAGATGTGTGTCGGCGACATCTGTGAGAGCGTTTCATTGGTCACCATCCGCAGCGAGGACCCTCCCGAAGGGATGGCCTTGGTATACTGTAGTATATTATAGCATTTTATAGTATACTATAGTCATAGTATATTATAGTATGTATATTGTAGTACATTATAATAAACTATAGTACATTATAATAAATTATAGTACATTATAATATATTATAGTACATTATAATATGTTATAGTACATTATAATATGTTATAGACATTATAAGACATTACAATATATTATAGTATATTATAGTATATTATAGTATATTGTATTATATTATAGTAGATTACAGGATATTAGGGATATAGGGCCCAAGAATGAAGAATCAAATGGAAAAGGACATGGAAGCTAGGTGTATATAGAGGTTTTTGTTACGGATTTTGGCTCTAAGGTTTGGGGCCTTGGGACTGAGGGTCTCACTGTTAGGGCTTCCAATTCGAATTTTTTTGTGGTGCCTCCGGCAGGACACTTCTGAAAACGATTAGTTCAGGGCCGGCCAATAATCCCGAACTTTACATGTTTAGCTTTTGCATGTCTAGACTACATGGTAGTTTCCATAAGTAGGGGGACCCCAATATAGACCCCGCCGAACGTATATCAACCTGTGAACTCCTTGGCCCTTCAGACCCTGAAACCAGAACCATAAATCATCGAGGTTCCTTACCGGAATACTAGTTGAAGTTGTATAGATAGATAGATAGATAGATGGACAGATAGATGTATTTCATGGGTTTCAGTATAAGAGCAGCGCGTGACACTTAAGTCGAACCCTGCCGTGAAACCGCTGTGCCAGGAAAACCTCGATAGTGAACTCCTTGCAGAGACACCTCCGGGTCAGACCTTGGAAATTCTAGAGGCTGGGGGTTTAGGGTTTCTATAGGGGTTATATAGGGTTCTATGGGGTTCCATAGGGGTTATAATCGGGTTTATGGGGGTTATACAGGGATGATGAAAAATCAAATGGGAACTACTTTCTATTTAGGGTTTAGAGGCTTGGGAGGGCTTAGAGAATTTGAGGGCTTCGTCTTCACGCTTGTCTTTCGAAGTGATGGCGGGGTGCTGGGTAGGTCTTAACTTTCCTTTCCGCAGCCTCATTTAGGAAGACCTATCCAACTGATATACTTCGAGTTGTAGGGTTAGAAGGGTTTCTCGCGATTCCTGGGTCATGCTGGGATCTGTTTTCGTTTCTAAAATCCTGTCTTGACCTCGTGATTCCGCGCTCCAAACTATTCACCACCATTTGCTTCAATGCCGTTGCCAATCTGAGCTCTCTTCAAAGTTCCCTCCCTTTCCGGAGGCTAGGGTCTGGGGGCATTAGTAAGCAGACTTATAACCCCTATACGCTAATTCCAGTTACCCCCGTTGACTTATTAGTCCCCCGGACCCTCCAAGTAAGGGTTCAGGGTTTAAGTGCTCAAAGATCCCTGGTGCTCAGATTTCAGGGAGGCTACGAAGTTAGCCTTGCGCCCAAAGGCCAGGGAAAATCGACCCTCCAAAGGCAGGATCTGAGGGGCCCTCTTATTCCAACATCTGTGGAAGTTTTTGCGCGCGCTTCTGGTGAATAAGATCAGGACCAAGTCTGGCACATTTTCAATATGGGGATTTCCCTACAGTCGTGAAAGTACGGGCCGCTACTCGGTGTTCCTATTATATTAACAAATCCCTATTCAAATTTCCCGCACTTGAGGAACAGGAATTTGAGCCAAGTCCCATACATGGCCTAAACCCTAAACCCTAGACCCAGTCCATGATGAGGTTAGACCTGAACGCCAAACCCTGCGCCCATCATGATGTACCAAGCCCGCAATTAATTCCTGTATTGCTATTATTACTACGCTTATGACTACTATATTACTATATTGCTATATTACTCTCTTCCTCGGTTCATACCTCCACTTGCTTTCCCCTTCCACTCCTCCGCCTCCCTTTTTCCTCCTTGGCTCCCCTCACGTCATCGCTCGAAGGTGGGCCAGGGCCGACGCGTCAAGGTCAAGACGGCCACAGGCAGCCATTAGCCTCTGCGACTGTTTTCAGGTTGGAGGGATGTTTGGGAGATCTACTAATCCCGTATGTAACCACCCTTTAAGGAGTTTAGACTAATCCCCCTTAATAATCCCTATAATCGTCCTCTCTTTAGCATGTTGGAGGGATGTTTGGGAGATCTCGGTTTTGGGCGATTGACTGTTGAGATTTGAGGCTTTCCCAGAATTAGGGGTACCATTTTGGGGGTCCCAATAATAAGGATTATTGCATTTTGGGGTCTATTGGGGTCCCCTTATTTTGGAAACTACCATTTGTCTTGGTCATGGAAGGGCGAAACGTTGGCGGCAAACGACAGATAATGGCTTGCGGCTTCTCGAAAGCATCCTGCATGCGCAGCGGGCAGTGTCCAAGCTTCTGTGCAAGAAACCCTGAAGGATAGCAGAAAACCGGGTTCCTTAACCCATCCCCTTGAGCCCCAGCAAGGCGGCAGCCTTTGCTTGCCTTACTCGGCCATACCACCCGCAAAGCTGCTGGGTTGTTGCGCTACAAAAATGCCCTCTCATCTACCTCAAATTCATGCCAGAAGGTACAATATAACCCAATATACTATAGTAGTTTCCATTTTCTTTTCCATTATCCCAATATAATCCCTATATAATATAACCCCAATATACTATAGGGGCTCACAAACCTGGACAGCACGCCTGATCCTTCTCCAGTTATTGCATGGACGTCAATCCAACATCCTGTGCCAGGTTTGGAAGGCTGGATAAGTACAAAGACCAAGCTCAACGAGCCCTTGGTGGTCAAGAGTCGTGGCCACAGTCTCCTTGAACAGGGGCTACGGGATCTCTACTAGTGGGTATTTAAGCTACAAGAGAATACAATGGATGTTAATCTGTCGTTGCTGACATGGTTTGGGATGAGGGAAGTCCCTGACTTTTCTTACAACAGGAGCATACCTTTACCTTTGCCATGTATCTGTTTCCATGAGAGAGCGACTTGGATGTGTGATTTAAGCCAGAGGTAGGTTTCGCTATTCTTACAAGAGCTTGCTTCAGCACAGGGATGGCTACATGCACACGTGTCGGTGCTATTACGAGGTGCATGGGTTGGTGTAGGAAACTCAGCTTGGGTTCGGAAGCATCCAAAGGGTTTGGGGTACGGGCTCCAATTCATTTTCCCGTGCAGGCTACTTCCCTAGGCCTCTTTGATAGGTTTCGGAGTCAATCGCCAAGTGGGGGTGTTCGAGTTTTCTGCCTGTGTAGTAGAGAGTGAATCAACACCTTTCATCAACGACTCTAGCCGACCCTCAGACCCTAGACCTAAAACAAATGGCCTCATCATAACTTTTAGAGGATGCGACATGATGCCTAGCTGGATTGCCTCCCAGGACAGAAGGAAGTGGAGTTTGCTATTGATGGTTGGGAGACGAAGTCCCAGCACGAGGCAGGCGTAAAGGGGGCACACCCGCAAAATTCGTTTTACAGAAGTCCTTGGAGAGCCGGAGAGCCCTTTGCTGCCACGTTTTCGGGATGCAAAGTTTATACTGTCATGTCCGGAGTTTTGACACAGTTTTGACCATTTCTTCTTTTTGCTTTTGGTTTTTTATGGCCCTATACAGTTTGTAGTGATCCTGGGCTTGCCGGTTTAGGGCTTAGAGTTCAGGGTTTGGGGTTCAGAGTTTAGAGTTTGGACTGTAGGGTGGGGACCTCCCAAAATGGTGCCCTACATTTTGGGAAACCCTCTGCTGCTGGGTTGGCAGGGGGCATCAATCTTGCGGCAATATTCTGGGGTGCATTCCCTCCTTCCCTAAGAAGCGTAATGTAGAAGGTGGTAACCTGAGCACTTTTTAGCTAGGCTACCGGGTAGTTGCGTTGTAAGGCTATATACTTCAACAAGACTTTCAAGCTCAAGGGCGGGAGATGGAGTACGGGAGGGAGGTGGTTTTTCGAGAATGAGGGAACGGACCTTTGTAGTCGTCACTTTGTACTGCACTGTCATTCCTGTACTTGGATGATCTCTTGACTTATTAGACCTACTTACTATCCCCAATAATTCGTATTATAAGCCACATAGCCCCTGTTACTAAGTACTTACTAAGGCAAGAGATCCTCCAAGTACTATGACGCCATCTCCATCCGTGAACCCTAAACCCCTTAGCCCCTTATCACCAGCGAGTTCTGGGGTCATTTCTGGTCATGACGAGCTTGGTCTCACGAGCAAGTGTTTCGGGTTCAGTCTGTCTGCAGTTGACAGCTAGGCGAGTTAGAAGAGGATCACATAGAAGATGAGTTTCAGCATGAAGGCGTCCAGTAATTCAGATGATTTGGGGGGCGCAATTATGTAATTTTTTCCCGGATTGATGATAGTAATACCCAGAAGCTATTAGATCTATAGACCTAAGCTGTAAATGAAAATGCCAAGCTTTTCTAGCCGTGGAATCTGGAATCTGATGCTACCAAGACCATCGATGTCTTTTTTTGACCGCATATTCGAACAGGCTAGGCAATCAATTTCTAAAGGGGGTAGTCCAGCAGCCCCCCTGATCCTCAAGAGTATAAAGAGGCAGGGGGTCCAACAGTGTTATTTGTCTGGGCTTCAATTTTCTAATTCAATGTTTTAGTGATTTTCATCTAATCTAGGTTCTTTTTGATTAGATTGTAGGGGTCTAGCCAGACGTAAGTTGAGTTTAAATAGATTTCAACAGGTATTCATCAGATCTTACTTGATTCCAATTAATTATAGGGATGCTGTCAATGATTTTGATTTTTGTAATTGATTTCGGCAGGATTTAGAGCCCAGGCCTTTAAACATAAAGGCGGAGCTCTATTGCCGAGGATTCGAAAACCTAATTGAGCCATTCCTCTGGAATTCAACAGAAGCCGACGTCGTATTTCCCTTCCCTTATTGATTTTAATAGAACCTCCCAGAGCTCCCAACTTGTATTGAGGACTTTTCATTAAAGAGGCTCTTGTTTTTGTTTGGGGGGGCCCCACACTAGTCAGGATATCACATTGATAGAAATTGCATGATCACCTGGCAGCCTCTTAGCATGATGGGGCTTCAAAGGCTAAAGCCTGGAATATGAATTCTGTAAGTGCCGCCCCTGTACAGAAAGCACCTCAGCTTCCTGATCTCACCTTCTTGGGGGGGGTTCCCAAAACTTAGGAGCACCTTTTGGGGGGGGTCCCTATAATGAGGCTCACCGTATTTTGGGATGTATATTGAGATCCCCCTATTTTCTGGAAACTAAACTCTAAATCCTAAACCCTACTACCACATAGCTCCGAAATCTTTGGGGGAAGCTGCCATGGCCAAGTAGCCTTGCGCCAGGTCAAGTCCATGGTCACTGTGAGGCCGGGCTTTATGAATTATACGGTGGATACCATGACCCTAAGTCTTAGGGGTACTTGGAAATGATTTTTGCTTTTTGTTTACTATAATCCTAAGGAACAGCAAAAATTACAATTTTTTGCTATGGTTCCAAGTTCCCCAATGAAGTACCTGATAGCTTGGGACTACAGTACTATAGTATAGTAAGGTCATGCAGATTTTGGTATCGACAGTAGCTTGGGGTGCAGGGTTCAGTGTGTAGCTGCGGTTTAGGGTTCAGGTTTAAGTCAGGCTTGAGCTCAGGGTTTGGGTTTTACGGTTTAGAGTTCGCGGTTCATGTTATGTTGATTCGGTCAGCACAATTGAGGTGGCATTTTGGCCTCAATAGATGTAACGAATCTGTTAAGGACACGATCTGGACCCAACTCAAGGCTGTCCCCAAATTTGGGGGTTAGTACGGAATAAGGGTGTGTGTTGCATGGGGATGATGCGGGGGTCCCTTATCCCTTACTAACCATTAGTAAGTAAGACCTTCCCTGGAGCCTGCCTTACTTGGAGATTCATGGGAGGTAACAAGCACTTAGAACTGGAGTTATAACCAAAATAAGTCCAGTCAGGGGGACTTTGATTGTAAGACCAGTTGTAAGTTGTTCCTAAGCCCCATGAACCTGCAAATGAGCTGCGTCCCCTAAGTGGCTATATAGTGCCGGTAATGCTCCCCTGATGGGTTCCTTATCTGGAGCCCCAAGCCTGAAACCCTAGACCCTGAAGCTTATAGGCTGTAAACCCTGAACCCCAAGCACTAAACCCCAAGGCCTGCACCCCAAAACCTAAACTGCAATCCTTAAACCAGAACCCCAACCCTAAGGCCTAAATGCAGTTACCATTAGAACCAGGACAGGAGAGAGTTTGGACAGCGACGTCATCGGCGAGTTGAAGCCAGGTGCCGGGGGCGCGGAATTTTCCTAAAAAGGGTTCAGGGTCTGAGGGTTGAGGGTTTAGGGACTTAGGGTCTAGAGTTTAAGGTATAAGGGTTTAGGGTTCAGGGGTCTAAGGGTTAAAGGTTAAGGCTTTAAGGGTTTAGGGTTGAGGGTTTAAGGCTTAAAGGTCTAGTCTTTAAGGGTTTAGGGTATACGGGCTAAAGGTTTAGGCTCCAAGGTTTAGGGTTTAGGGTATAAGGGTTTAGGGTTTCAGGGAACAAGAACGATCCTCCTAAGCGTGACCCCTCCAACCACCCTCAATAACGAATGTTCCCTAATGTATACTAGATCGGGGGTATTCAATATAGGGGGGTTGAGGGAAGTTGCTGCGGAGAGGGGATTGTTGTGTTTAAGGCCTGGGGTGATGTCATGGGGTGTCTTAATCTCCTTGTTATCCTCATAGAAGCTACAGAAATCACATTATTACATCCTCGGGGTTCCTAAGTTATCCGATTCACCCTCAAGCCTAAAGCCTGAACCCTGAACCCCTAAGGCCTAAACATGGGACCCAAAACCCGAAACCCTAAGGGTCAGCAGGGTCCTACTTCACCGAATCTTGGGCTTTGCTTCGGCTTTGGGGCCTCAGGTTGGCGGTTTATGCTGTTAGCTGCCCCCTCTTCACGCCGCTCCCCCTTGCAGGTGTTTTTACGAAGGAATTGACGGCGCCTTAACGCGCCTTAACCCCACACCGCAAACCCACGAACCCCAATCACAGCATCACTAAACAGGCAGGTCATCCGAATCACATACCAGATTTTGGATCCATTTCTGTTTTTCGAACTGGGCTTTGTGGGCCACCGTGTGTGCAAGCTGTTGAGAATTTTCCTGAGGCACGCCGCCTGTCCGCAAGAAATCCAATGGACCGGACAAGCAGGTGGAAAAATGCAGGACCAAAGAGCCCAAACTGGGTTGGCCTTTTGGGGTATTTAAGTATAACCCCCCCACTACTTTCATAAGGACCCGCCTATATACATATTTTTTTTAACTTGGTTCTTTAAACGCCAGCCAAGAAAATGGGACTGCGAGGTGCCGTCTTCACCATCAAGGAGTTTGGCGCGACCAACAAGCGGCGAGCGTTGATCGACTCAGCCACTTTGCTGCTTCTGGAGGGGTGGGATTTAACGCAGAGTCCCAGGGGCCCTAACCCAAACAGCAAATTAGCCCTATCAAAAGGGGCAGCTTGAAGCGAGCAGTTTTCTCTTTGCTGCAGGGTCCTTGCAGATTACTTGGTAGATTTCGAGGCATGGTTTTTGTCTTCGAAGGGGCCAGGCCGGCTTTGAAACTGCAACCAAGAGGTTTCCTAGGTACCCCAGTACCCTCAACCCTGAGGGATTATGGATTCAGACAGTGTAGTTTCTGTCTGCAGTAGCAGAATGGGGGCATGACCTAATCCAGCTCATCTTTAAATTAAGGAGTTTAGTTTAAGTTACTATAATGGGGGAACCATATAAGCTATGACTATACTCATTACAGTAATTTAATTTCAGTTCCTCAACAGCAACCTATTCATTGCCGTGTGAGCTTCGGATTCTAGACTTACCGTTCCCTGGCATCCGCGCGGAAGCCTGGTTGATTTCCTACCTGTCATGCTGAGTCGGGAGGGCTGCGGACAAGGTACGGGTGTGAGGCTTCACTACTCTGGGGTGTGGGTTGTGGGTTTTTCGGTTCTGGCTGCAGGCGCTGCCCTGAGACTCAATTGATGTTAAGACATTTCATCCATTCTAGCAGAGCGCTAGTTCAAGTACGGACGTCCTAGCCCAGTAGTATGAAGATCTTGAAAATGTACGGCAATCCCCCCTAGTAGCAGTGGTGGCTTTGGAATCTATCCAGGCCCATTTTCGTTACCATGATCCCCCGTGTTCGCAATTGGTCGGTAGGTGGATCACCTAAAATCCCTGAGCCCTAATCCCAAAACCTAAGCCCTAGGCCCTAAACCGAAAACCCCAACCCCTAAATCCTAAATCCTAAATCCTAAATCCTATACTGCGAGCTCTGCTGTTCCAAGGGTGTCGTTGTAGGCTGGATCAGCCTGGTGCCTGGACCTCAGATCCTAGCCTCTCAAGAGGTTGAGGTGCCCAACTGTTAGGTACCGAAACTGTGTGAGAGTGTCTGGGCCTTATAACCTAGGACGCGGTTTAGGGTTTAGGTCCAGAAAACAACATGTAGTTTTCTATTGTTTATAACAATACCACACCCAATAAACAGCCAAAGGCATTGTTGCGGCATTCCGGGGCCCATGGAACATTAAGGGTTTTTGTATTCTTTGTATACAAGTGCAGTTCTTCCTTTCAAGAAGTGCCCACATAAGTACAGTAGGCTTCAAAGGTCTTTGTGCAGCCCACTCGGGCCTCAGAGGTGATCTTTCAAAGATGCTTGGCTTCTCTGGGTCCGCTGATTGGGCCAATTTCATGGATTCCCCTACAATCCCCCCCACTCTTACCCCTCCCCCCTCAAGTTTACCCCTTAAGTAGCAGCCTTAATTAGTCTACTTAACCAGGGGCCCAGGAGGGGTAGGGCAAAACATAACTTGCGGCGTGGCCTCTGGATCCTGCCTGCACCAAAGAGCATAACAGCGAAAAACCTAAACCCCAGAAACCCTAAACCCCCTACACCCTAAACCCCTAACCCAAGGTTTAAGGTTTAGGGTTAGGTGCTGCCGCCCACTGTTACTGTTGGATTATATTAATAGCATCGTCGAAAATCCTCCTTATAAGACCCCTATGATAGACTGTTATACGGTGGGGACAGTTCTCAACCTTAACCCTGAATCACGAATGTTGGGAGCCACTTGAAAGCAGCAAAATAGCTGATTAAATGCATATGTATGATGCATCATATTATTGAGTGCGCACAAGAGACTGTTCCTTTTTTGGGGTTTAGAGGAGGGTTGGCATGGAATATGTGTCCATGCGCCGCGCAACAAGCACTCTACTCGCTGGTTGTTATACGGAAGTACGTAGGGAAGCATTAATGTATCCCTATACTAGGGTTTAGGATTTAGGGTTTCTTAGTAGGGAAGTATTCAAGGATCCCTATACTAGCCTACCATATCTATGTTGTAGTTTCCATTTTGTTTGCGATGGGCCGCAATCCCTACTGACAGTCAGCGTGTGAACCCAAACCCTTGACCATTATACATCCCTGTAAGCCCAAGTTTTCATTTCATTGTCCATGTGCTTCTCCATTTAATTCTCCACTTTTGTGATGTGTTGGCAGAATAAAGTATTTTCTTGTGTTAGGCCCCACCCAGCAATAGCAACATAATGGGGATATGTAGGGACCCTAGGTGCCTGTCAGGAACAATTGTGGTCACTATCAGCGGGTGGGGGGGGCCAGCCTATTGTATCCCATGTTTTGAGTAGAGTATAAGCTACTGTTTTTTTTTGCATGGCACGTTGCTAAAAGTCATAGGCCCTTTTTCGGTCCTTAGGGTAATACGGCCTCGATTTTTTTGGATGCAGAGGGAACAGTTTTTTTGACAGCCCGTCACAACAAAATAAGCAGGTCTGGACTTGCATTACTTCTATTGATGCTATGTTTTCTACTACCGCATTATTCTACTTATTACTATTGGGCCAAGTAGCTCAGAGCCGTTTTTTTGGAGTCTCCCAGCACATTCATTTGCTGCATACCAGTACCAGCAAAGATAGCTTCTTGTCAAGTCCTCCAAGATTCCGAGCCTTGCAAACGACCCTTCAAACTGGATGTGAACCATAGACTTAACCCCTTTCAAGGGGGTTATATAGGGGATTATATAGGGGACTACTATGGGGCTATTAGTGGGAATGCTAGGCGTTCAGACTCTTGTTCATGTGTGTTGGAAGATGGTATTGCCTGAACCTTCAACACTGTCTGAGGACGAAGAACGGAGAAATGCTGGTTGGCAAAGGCGGGCATGGTGTGGATGCCTTGAAGCCTCTGCGTCGAAACAGAACATGGACAAACCCTGGTTAGTTGCAGCGCTGTAGCGCTGTACTCACCAAAGTCTGATCCAATCCCTTGCTGCTAAGTAGGTTGGCGCTAATTACTGTACTCTCTTTGACGTGCAGATGCTTCAAGAGTTTTGTCACTCCCCCCCCCTGTCTCCGGAAAGCCGGAAAGCCCTGCTTCCTTCGGAACACAAAATCTGCTCAGGTATTCGGCAGGTTGACTCTTTTTGATCTGAGAGACGTATGTTGCTGCCATAGTCCCCCTGCTTCCCTTTCCACAGCTTTTTCCTGCGATGGACTGGTATTCTGAGAAGGGATATTATAGTTCCCAGCATGGAAGGTTATGTTTTGTTTTTGGCTATATGGTTTCAATAAAGTCATATTCAGCTGAAACACCAAAACACCCTCCCCCTAATTTGATCTGAAGTGCAGAAACTCTGAGTAGGGTTTAAGGTTTTAGGTTTGGCACTTTCCATCAATACGTGGACTCCAATATGGACACCCAAAAAAAGACTCGAGTCCTCATCTTTGGGACTCCAAAATGGTGCCCCTAATTTTGGGAAGCTCCTGAAACCTTAGCCCTATTCAATCCGGATATAACTGGTAAGAAGCCGAGGCATGGATATTTGCAGCGGGGTTTGGATCACTGGGTTTGGGGTTCAGGGTTTGGGTTTGCAAGTCTGCTGTGATCGTCTTCTGCGTCTCATCAGATGAGCACACCGGAGGGCTTGTGGCTTGTGGACGTTTCTCCAACCACTCTTCAAACCCTTTATCACAGCGTTCAACATGCGTCGATCGTGTGCTAGAAGCCACCCCCCTTCCAATCTTTTGAGATGTCCACATGTCCTAATATTAAAAGAGCGGTACACCCATACATACCCTCACACTCCCTTTGAAAACTCCCATCCCTAAGCCCTGAGGCCTACACCCTAAACCCTATCCCTAGACCTTAAACCCTAGACCGTACCCAAGCCCCGGTACCTTGCTCCATCCTATGAGTCCATGATCTGCCAGTTGCGAAAGACAAGTCTGCAGGCTCAAACGTGCCACTTGGTTCAAAGGTGCTTTGGGGACCCTGTCGTATTGGGGGATAGTGGGGAATCAGGGAATATAGCATGCAGGGATTATATATGGGATCATAGTCCCTTATTCCCTACTAAGCACCAGGAAGTGTAGGAGTTGCTCTCAAATCACTGGAGTTCTTGTTCTGAATCATGAGGATGTTTGCCAGCTTGGGTTTTGTTTTGTTTTGGGTTTTTGGGGTCCGTGGTGGTGTTTTGAAACTGGGGTTCCCTGTTTCAACGCTTTCTTGGCCTTCTTGTAAACAAAGTCGTCAGGGGTGTGCGATGCTTCCGTCTGAAGCATGGAGGCTTTGGGGTGTTGAGTCGAGACTGGTGAAAAACAGGGTCTCGGGAATTCCAGCAGCTTGGCTATACGAGCCGCAGGCTATCCTTGGGGCCATTAATTTCAACGCAGATACACTAGAGCTCCAGTCACCTAAAAGGTGGGTATATCCACCCTAAACCTAAACCCTAAAACCCTAACCCCAAACCCTGAGCCGTGTAGCTAACTGTGTCCTTAGGGTTAAAGCAAAGCAAATGACTGTTCCCAGGAATCCGATTATAGTCCCCCTTTAAATAGATAGAACAGGGGGTACATGGGCATCTTGTTCTAATATACCCAAAGCCATATTCTATCTACTCAAGGGGGACTATAAGTCCTTCGCAGTTGAAGCTTGGAGGCGACAGGCCAGGAGTCGGCCTTCTACTTGGAGGTCCTTTGTACTTATAACCTACTTAGTAATTGTAGCTATAACCTAATTATAAGTCCCATAACTACAGTTACCCTAAATATAATTGGGTTATATCTACAGTTACTAAGCAGGTTATAACTACAATGGGCCTCCAAGTAGGCCCTTGGAGGGCTTGTAAATAATCCGAAGGAACCGCAAAAATGATAATTTTTGCTATGGTTCCAAGTTCCCCAATGAAACCCTAAGACTTCAATGGTAGTTTCCATTTTCTTTTCCATTATCCAAGCATGTCCCCATTATTTCAGAATACTATGGTCCCTATCATTAAGACCCCTAGACCATCATCCTGCTCAGCCCCCTGAGACCCTGAACCCTTGCACCGAAAGCCCCAAATCTTATAGGCCTTACATATCCCCAATATAACCTCATAGAACCTCTATATATCCCCAATATCCCCCCCATATTCCCTGTATACTTGTTTACTGAGCCGCGCGCTTCTGAGTTGAGCCTGAGGTTCGGAACAAGCACCGGCAAGATCAAGGACCTCGGGGTGCCGATTCCTTTACTGCCAGGTTACTGTAGCCTGGCCTCCCATCCTTCTCAGAGATGAAATGCTTGAGCCCAAGCTTTCAAGCTGTTAGCCGCATTTAGGGTTTAGGGTTTAGGCGCCATGTGCGACCTCCCAGTTGTTGGGCATTGCATGGGCGCAGGAGAGTTCGCTGGCACCAAGCCGTATCTTGACCTGCCTCATCGCATCATCCTGCTTTCCGTAGACATGCCCTCATTCGACGACGGTACATTCTACTCTTTCTGTTCCCTACATTATCATTGTAGGCTTTATATCCCACGATGCAGATCCCTAAATATCCGCATGGTTGCGTTGGTTTTGCGATACATGACAACGGTAAAACTGTTTGACATTGCAGAGGACGGTCAATGCCAAGAAAAAGCCCAAACCTTAAACGGGCATACCCCAATGCCCTCCACCTCCGCAGGAAAATGGGTGATTATTTTGCAGCGTAAGAGGTCCCCTCATAAGAATGTACTCTTCCTGGTATCGTCCGCTTACTATCCTTTCACGGAAGCCACCGTGATTTCGCAATGGACAGAAGCCTGTTTGCTCTCCCAAGCCATCCCAATCTTAACCGTGGAGCCCGCCCCTTTAACCCTGGAGAATCTCCTTCGGTGGAAAAGCTACACCCAGAAGTCAAACACCTCAAAACACCAGATCCTGCACCTTTTTCGCAAGATGCCCTCCTGGTTCACAACAGGAGATGTTGGAGGCAGCACGATCTGGAGATGTCGATGCAATTCGCAAGGCCTCGGGTGGGGACAGTGCTTCACTGGATGAGGTTACCCAAAATGGCTAGGGTTTAGGGTGGTCACAGCCCACTGGGTGGAGACATCTCAATCCCGAAAAGTTTGCTACACTTCTCCAGAAGTATGATTGCGGGGATGTGCTGGTTCATTTTTCAGGTTTGTTTGCCCCCGTGCATTTTTGGGATGCATCCTGGAATCTCATTTCAGGCGTGGCTTCCTCAATTTCAGGCACCTGAGGTTAGCAGTTGCCAGAATTTATGGAGGTCTCTTCTTTCGTCCCATTCCGGCTTTGGGCCATGTGCAGCTGTTTGTTATGTTAGGCTACAGGTTGAAGATTGGCAGCAGAAGATTATTGCTTGTTGGAACCTCACTGGTTCTCACTGGGCGCCACACTCTTGCTTGCTCGCACTTGCAATTCGCCGTACTTCGAACACTGCGAAGCAGGCCCTAAAGTTGCATTGATGCACGAGCGAAGTGCCAAGATTGAGGGTATGTGCCCGAACCTGTGAGAACGTTAAGGGAAGCCTGGATACTCGAGGCGGCTCGACCATGCTTGCACCATCCCTGCAACAGGACCTGGTATATGAGTTTTATACCGGCCCCATGCCTACTGCTCTTCAAACAAATGCGTAGTCATGACGCAACGATGAATGCAAAACACCGCAAATCCGGGAACGCCACTTCACCCTTCGAATTCTACATCTCCTGGGTTGATCCGCACTTGCTGTGACGATCATTTTTGGGTCGTTCTCAAAGTTATGGGCCCCTGTAGTGGGGGTCCTTTTGTGACCTATCATTGAGTGGAACTTGTTGCTGTCGTTTTGGGCTAACGCATCGCCAAAAACTGTACTAGGCGACCTGAACCCTAACCCCTTAACCTCAAATCCTAAACTCTAAGCCCTAAACCCTAAACCCAACTGAGCAAGGATTTAAGAATCGCAGGCTGCAAGGTGCTGCGGGGAGCGCAGGAAGGGATCCACCCGAAACCCGAAGCCCTGAATCCAAAACTCTAGGTTTTCGAGCTTAGGATTTAGGGCTATGCTCCGGACCCCAAGCCTTAACTCCTAACAATCCCTAAGCTGTAACTTTGAGCCCTAAACCCTAAAGCCTAAACCCTAAGCCCTAAACCCTAAATCCTAAACCCCAAAAACCTTAAACCCCTAAACCCTAAACCCTTAAGCCCTAAACCCTAAGCCCTAAACCCTAAGCCCTAAACCCTAAACCCTAAAGTAAGGGATCCATGGTCTTTGCACGTCAGATCGCCGAACCAAGCTCCGGCATTATGCTGGGTCCCTAGGGCTTAGGGTTTTGGGATTTAGGGGTCTAGGGTTTTAGGGTTTGGGGTTTAGGGTTTAGGGATTTAGGGTCTAGGGATTTAGGGCTGAGGGTGAAGAAGCTTCTGTCGAACTTCACGTTAGCAAGGGAAATTAAGATGTGAGGGTCTGGGTGGCTTAGGGTTGAGGATCTTGGAGGGTCAGGGGGACTTAGTAAGTAGGTTAATAACCCCATAACCCATATGGTAGCCCTAATTATCCCCCATGATTAACCTACTTACTAAGTCCCCCTGACCCTCCAAGAATGAGTGTAGAGGTCTCAGGACCTAGGATCTGGGACTTGGGGCTTAGGGCTTAGGGGTTTCAGGGATTGAGGGGTTAAGGGTTTAGACGGTTCTGGGTTTAGGGTCTAGGATTTGTAGCTTTAGGATTTGGAGTTCAGAGTTTGGCATTCGCGATGATGGGACATGCTGAGGGTGGATGTAGGGGTCACTGTACTACCTGAGTAGTTTCCTTAGCATACTCCTTGCCTATTTCCTAATCTATATAAGGACTAGTGCTGGCAGTTCAAACGAACATGTCCAGGAGGAGGACACAGGACTATGGGTTGTATGAGGGATAGCACTCGGGTCACAGAGCGTTGTCGCGATGTTACTTGCCGTTTGTTTCTTGCTTATTCTCGGAATCCTATGACAAGTGATCGACAGGGCCTTGACGGGTCATTGCACCTAAACCTTTGTCTAGGAACCTTAGAGTGAGTTATGGAAGTCATCAGCTGGTGTGGAAGCCTACTCAAATGCAAAGTTCCCGAGTTCTCTATGCAAACCTGGAAGCAAGGGTTTCTGAAGACCCTTATGGGAACTCCAACCCTAAACCCGAAACCCTAAACCATATATATATATACACACACATATAAGGGTAGTTTAATTTAAATTCCTGAGCACCAACCCAGGTCCAAGTTCACTCAGAAAGCGAACTTGAACGCATCCGACGTCCGGGGGAAGACGGCCGGCTCTCCCGGGGCATGTTGCAAAGTAATTAGGGTTTAGGGTTTAATGGCCTAAGCCCTAAACAGGGATTCTCTAAGAACAGTGCCGTTAGGAGCAAGGGGGCGATTTTGAAAATGAATTTGAGGCCCCAGTTTAGGAGCAGGATTATATAACTTTCAGGACTGTGGCTTTTGTGGATTTGGGGTTTGGGTCCAGATTCGAAAGAAGGAGGTCAGATCCTTCCAGGGCAGCGTGGGAATGCTGAATGGTGCTCATCAAAGGTCCCTCCAAATGACCCTAGAGTAGCGGTTTGGAGAATATTAATATTGGTAGTATTACTAGTACCTAGTATTGTTGTTATTGTCATATATAATTGTTTAGTATTACTGTTATTAGTATGACCATTATTACCCTTACATAGTACTATAAGGAATGACTCGGGAAATCATGGTTCAGGCTGAGGAGCTTGTACAGTCCTTGTCTTGTCTTGTCTTGTCTTGTCTTGTCGGCGCAGTTTGGAACATTGAAATTTCTGTAAGGGTCACATGCACGAGAACATGACATGTTCAAAAGGATCAAAACACGTTTCAGCAAACAATTCCTCAACCCCCCCGAACCCTAAACCCTTAACTCTAAACCGTGCAACCTACAGATCTAAAATGTGGTACCCCGTGCAGGCCCTCACCTATGCTGCGAGCTTCGGGAACAAGGAGGCTCCTAGCGCGCAGCACCTCTGCCATCTGGTAACCCAGTACCAGAAGAATCTGACGGCTTGAATTAGTTTGGAAGTTCCTATACAAACCCCTAAGTACAACCTACATAAGCCCTATATCATATAAACTCGAAGTTAGGCCCATCTCCCTCTCATAGGAGGAAGGCAGGGCCCCCCCTTCCCAATCTTCAAAAGAGACATGTTCACACCGAGGACACGTATATGGGTTTCTTGATTTATGATAGCTAGGATAACCCCTATATAACCCCAGTGTCCATTACATTTTCCATGTTCTTTTCCATTTGATTCTCCATTCTTGGGGTAAAACCCCTGATATTGCCCCAATGATTTATGTAATGGCTGGGTCTTTGTATTCCCTATTATAGTACTTTCCATTGTATTTTCCATTATCCCAATATAAACCCAATAGAACCCCAATAAAAATCCAATATAACCCCCATATATAGGTCTTTGTCATGGCCTTTTGTACTTGCGGAAGGTGTGGAGGTGCCCTTTCTGTCGTGCCTCTTTGGGCTAAGAACTCCTGGCCTTCTGTGGTTATATGGGGATAATGGATAAGAAAATGGAAGCTATAGGGATTTTCGGGATTATATAGAGGTTATATAGGGGTTATATGGGGGTTATATAGGGGTTGTATGGGGATAATGGAAAAGAAAATAATGGAAACTACTATAGTATATTGGGGTTATATGGGAATCATGAAAAAGAAAATGAAAGCTACTATAGTATATTGGGGTTATATGGGTATAATGGAAAAGAAAATGGAAGCTACTATTATTGAAGCTGAAGACCCGCAGCTGTTGGTATACCTCAGGCATAAGCAGAGATCCAGGTTCTCTCGGGTATTCCAGGTGATTCCAGGTGCAGCTGTACCCAGTTATGTCTTGCCTTTGGAAGACGACTGCTCTTGCATATCCTTCGCTGCGTTAGTTTCGTGCTCTACGGCAAGACACGAGGTGAGAAATGAGTTGACGGCCTTCCCAAAAGCAGAAGCATGAGCCGAATTACCATTTCCGACTGCAGGTTCGTGTCTCTGTGGTCATGTGCATCGTTGCCAAAACTGTGCCGGATTCCGCATAAGACCATTCTAAGACAGCACCCTATATGGTGGGGACCTGCTCCACAATTCTCATCTTGACACAAATCTACATGACACTGATTGATGTGTCTACGGGAAACTGCTAGGATCACAAGAATCACTCCCTAGTGCTTTGTAGAAATTCATCTAGAATTGTTTGCGGCGGAATTAGTTATATGGGGACTGTTTACTCGCATATAGGTATCAAGCACTAGGCAGATGAAATAGGTGGACTGTCAGAGGACCCGAAGATACTCACCTTCATCCCTTCTAGTCAGTATTACTGGGTACTGTAACCCTTTAACCCCAAACTCCAAAGTCTAAACCCCAAACCCTAAGCCCCAAATCCTAAATCCTAAGCCCAAAACCATAAACCCGCAACCCTAAACCCTGAAGAGATAAGGATGAGGATGATGTATTGCCAGGTTGTGGACTATCTTTTGAGCAAGGGCAAGGAGATCGAAGTCAACGCAGTCCCTGCCTCAGGTTTTCTTGTCTGTTTGGGCAGATCTACGGTTTAGGATTTGGGCTTCAGGGTTTCCTAAGCCCTAGACCCTAAACATTCGGGTTTGGTGGTTTAGGTTTTAGGGGTGGTGGTCGGGTGACGGGGGGTTGGAGACCTCTTGGAAATGCGACCTGCCGCACCCAGACCCTGAAATCCTAACCCCCTAGGACCCGGAACCTGAGCCCTAGACCTTTAAATCACAAGCCCTAAACCTTAAACCCTTATGTCCTAACACCTGATCTCTGAATCCTTAGTTGCCCCAAATCCTTAGCTGTGCACTCCGTTGAAGATCATTTGACCAAGGTGGACGATACAGACAAGACGGCTCTGCACCATGCTGCACGGAGGCTCAGGGGTTTTAGGGTTTAGGGTTTAGGGTTTAGGGCCCACCTCATGAGGGACACTTGTCATTGGGATTTGGCAGTTTAAAGCCGGTAAAGCGTCTTCATCATCACCTTAGAATCTCCATATGTTTCCAGATTTCCTACACGTCCCCCGCAAACCCTAGACCCTAAACCTTAGGGAGGCCGCGGCCACAGCCCTTCGCAACGATCTGGAGGAAGCTTTCCCAAACATGCCAGATGTAAACCTGAACCCTAAACCCTAAACCCTCAATAATAGCTGTTCCATTATACGCATATAACCTCTATATGACCCCATCTGACCCACATATTTTTTCGACGGAAGGCTCAAGCCTAGAGCCTCAGAGTCTCGAGTTTTCCGCTCCGCAGGACGTCGCCAACTGATGACGAGCGACAGGCCTGAGACAATTCCCCAGCTGGTTTGGGTTGGGTGTGTTTGGCGTTTATATCGGGCTTAGGTTTTTTGAGGATTTTTATAGGTTTACTAGATTTATCTAAGTAAGCACTACATGAAAATGACCGTATCGGTTTTAAAGGTGATTTCGAGGGTTTTTAATGAACTTTTTTCTAAGTAGGAACTAAATGTCAATGGTTGGTTGTTTCGGGCTTAGGTTTTTGAAGGGGTTATGGGGTTTATATTAAGTTTATATGGTTCTGTTTCCCTGCGGTTCAAGCTTCCCTCTGGATCCATAGAGAAGTTCAGATATCTTCGGTCCCAATCCTACGGGGCGTAACGATCCAAGTAGCGATACCCTAACGTTTATTCTCAACAGGTACTCTGTGATTAGAAGCGACCGTCCCAACATTTACATCTTGCTCTTTGGGTGGGAGCCTTCTTATGCAGGTTAGTTGGTTGTGCCTATGAGTGCAGGGGCTTTGCCACTGCTGTTGCAGGCGGATATCATCTCGATGCTCCTGACGGCCAAGGCATACATTGAGGTGCGCCGTGCACGACGTAAATTACTCTAATAAGGACACCTTGTTATTTACCATATACCCATATTATGGTAGCTCAATTCAAGGAAACCCTGCTACTTACTATACCCATATCATGGCAACTTAAGTTAAGTTCCTCTAGAACAACATAGTCAGTCAGTCAGTCAGGGATGTGGAGCTTAGAGTGCAGAACGCCTCAGGGAATACTGTCTGGTATGGGGTGAGACCTGGTAGGAGGTTTGGGGAGGGTTGAGGGTTTAGGGTTTAGGGACCCTAAACCATAAACCGCGTGGCTCATAATGGTTTTCTATGAATAGGGGCAGATGGAGGGGACCTAGTTACCGGGTTGCCGTGGAGGAACTTAAGCTAAGCTGGCGTGATACAGATATATATATATATAGAGTAAATAATGCCGGTTTAGGTTTTGGGTCAGGGGTTCCTTATCATAGTAACTGAGTTTAAGCTCCTTAACAACAACCCATTGGAATACAAGAATCAATACTCCTGATTCCCATTGCGACTAAACCCTAAACCCCAAAACCCTAAACCCTAAACCCTAAACCCCGAAACCCTAGACCCCTAAACCCTAAACCCTAAACCCCCAGCACGATAGGCGCGGGATCACAACGGCTGCACTCCGCTCATGTTCGCCGTGGCAAATGGCAACGAGGTGCCTCTTGCCATCGACTGTAGATGCCTTACTTAGGGAATCTACCCTAGAAGATACCAGGATCCCTACTACGACTTATGATTAGATGCCTGAACAACTATTTGGTAATATGGTATTAGAACTTTGCATGATGGTTTTAACCACAGGGTATCTCAAATTACTAAACCTCAACGTTGTGTTGGTAAGTATTCTGGCCTCTATATGTACTGTGTGGAGGGGTTGATTTGAGGTCGGGTCTCAAACGTCCGTGTTTTGATCTTTACTCTTACCCTGAGGGTATCCGTGTCCTATAACGTATACTCATGGTTAATAAACTCCCTCCTTTTAAGGGAGGGGGTTTATTAAACAGGGGTCCGGGTTAGGAGGGTGCATGGGAGACTTCGGTTTGGCATGAACAACATGCCATCGAGGGAGCAAATGTAGTAATATTATCCCAATGGGTAAGGCAAGAATGTCTAAGAATTAAACCGTAGATATATATATATATATAAATACGCATACATACCTATCATTCATACCCACTTCCTTGAGGAGGACAGAAGTGCAAAGCCCACTGGTGGCAGGCTATTACTCGGAGGCTGATCCTGGCGCAGGCCAACGTCAACAACGCCCTGGGCCTAGCATGGCTCATGCGTTTCGAAATGTATTGCACTGAACCTCGATGACCCTTGCAGTAGACCCCATAACCCCCTTTACAAACTTTCTTGCAAATTCCCCCCATGTCTCAAAGTATCACGGGACTTGTTACCACCCCTCCCTTCAGGTGTGGACGTAGGGAAGACCCATTGTCCGCTATTCGCCACATTGACAAAGACTATTCCCCCGTAATTCTTATGTGGCCCGGGGCTCACGGCGGGCGGCCCCGGCCCGCGGCCCTGGCAAAAAACAATCTATAACAAACAATCTGCCCCAATCCCAGCGATAATTATTAGGCCCCTACATCAACCCCTCCGCGGCTGTGAGCAGGCCGAGTGCAAGAGATGCCTCAATGTTTTGAAGCAAGATTTAGGGTTCAGCGTTTGCCATTTGATGGTGCTAATGCAAGTCATGCCCGAAAAGCCATATTGATGCGGACTTTTCGCTGCAACCGTCATGCTTGTGTAGGCTCTTCTGCATCAGAACAGGTTGCTAGAAGTGTTTCGGCGCCTTTTTTGATCGCAGACACCAAGCGTGCTAAGACTAAGCCCTGAGCGTCCCTGTCTGCGATACCTGTTATCACCGCCTGCCACACTGGTAATGCTTTTTTCTGCAACACAGGTAAGTGATTTTACCAATGACGCCAAGAACACACATGTGTACAGCTGAAATCATGATCCCTTTGCTGCCCTTCTGAAAGAAATGCCGTAATTGTGCGATGGTGGGGGTTTTGGTCTCCAATATCATATCCAAAAAAATGTCCGCCAAGTTCGACTACGAGAACCACTCCTGCCTCAACTACGCCACGCAGTTCAACCAGCACAAGCTCGCAAATCCGCTGCAATCAGTGTTAGGGGAGAGCCACGTCGGCTGATATATTGTTTGTATATGCGTTGTACAGTGTAGGTGTCAGGGTTGTGCACAGCCCTCAGATGGGTTTAGGGTTTAGCATTGGGGGCGTCTCAGATGCAGATGGTGTGTCAAGTCTTGGCTGAGCGGCATGCATCATTAGCAATCCTTCCTTCTCTCATCTTGAAACTTGAAATCGCCACAATCCTGAAATAGTCCTGTTGGCAAATCCTGTACATTCCTATCTTCTTAGAAAAATATTTTTGATTGTAGTTCGACCCCAGGAACTAATAAAACAGCGTTTTATATATACCATAGGTCTAAGGCGACTACAGTACAGCGCTTTGGAAGGGCTTAGGCAAGCCCCTCAACAGGATTGTCAGACTTAAGCCAGCCCGAGGCGGCTTCAAAACCGAAAATCATTAATAGTAGTAAATAGTAATGGTATGAATACTAGGAAGAATAGTAATAGAAAAAGAAAAATGGTAGTAATAGTGGAAATGATACTAGTACGGAACAGGGTTTCATCTCACTGCTGTGCCGGGCTTTGCGCCTAAACGCCAATCATGATACAGCTCTCTGGCTTTTTGGGTAAGGTGCTTGCGGGGGGTCTCGCAATACTGGCCTTTTGCTTGGGCGACCCCTAAATGAGACCATCTCGTTGCACTGTAGATTTCATACTGTTCTGGGTTGTATTATTTATGTCTTGTGTGCGACCATTTCCTGATATGAGCAGTTGCCACTTTGCCCTGAACCCTTCCCATCCCACACCGGCATGGAACACCAAGAATGGCGCTCTCAAAAGAGGGTTGCATGAGAGGTAATGCTAGTTTGGTGGAGGGCAAGAGCCCTTACCCTGAGCCTTTTTAGGGTTTAGAGGGTTTAGGCGTCCCTAAACCCTGTAAAGCCTATATATCCCTAGCCTGTATACATACACAGAAATCCCTACAAGACCTTGCTTCATGGGTTCCCCTTCCCCCATCCCAATGGAGCCTTGAAAGTTGCGAATAATTAGCTTTCACTGGCCCTGATTGTGCCTAAATAGGTCCAATTCAGAGGGGTGGTAGAGGAACGCTAAACCTTCAATCCTGACCCCTAAAACCTAATCCTAAACTCTGAACCCTAAGCCTAAACCAAAATCTTTGCCAGGTGAATTTACTCAAGAAGGCCGGAGCCCGCGACAAGCTGAGCCTCGATGACGATGCTTCTGGGCTAAATTTCAGGTTTAGGGTTCAGAGGTGTATTTACTTACTAGTCTTTGGCAGGGAAAAAGGGAATGTACCCCCGTAAAATCCCCGTATAAAATATTCCCTTATCCCATCTTATCCCCTACTGATGACCAGTAAGCTAAGGGATCTCTGCGATTCTGGGTCTTTTTTCTTCTCGCGGCTAGGTTTCGTTTCTGCGGTTGTACCACATTTGTTCCTTTCATACCCAGTGTTGGCTGTTATCTATGAAGCGGAGGGAGTTAATTGCTTTCATCAGACTGGTCTTGATCTTCTCCAGTGTTCATCCCGCCACCAGAGCGGCCAGGCCTAAACCCTAAACCCTAAATCCTAAATGGGGGTTTCCCAAAATTAGGTGTACCTTATTAGGGGTCCCCATATTAAGGATTATAGTATATTGGGATCTATATTGGGGTCCCCTAATTTTGGGAAACTACCAAATTGTCTGGCACCTCAATCCTTGGCTGCAGGTGTTGCCACTACCCTGAGCCCAGGGCTCAAACCCGAGCTCTGCGTCCCAAACTGTAAATCCGAAATCCCACACCTTCATGGTTTAGGGCTTAGGGACTTTGGGTTTAGGGTTTAGGGTTTACTGCTAAGCAGGATGACGAAGAGGAGGAGGGAGAAGCAGCTTCTCCTGCAGCCGGAGGCGGCAAGTGGGTTCGGTTAGGGACTATAGGTAGGGAAAGCCCAATTTGTACTGTAAGTAGATAATACCCTTTAGCCTCTTTGAAGTTAGATTGAGTTCGCTAAGCTTTTGCCTTCTTAGGGTTTCACGGCCGTTGGGAATTTCTTTGGCTTTTCCTTCGGTAGTGCCTTGGGACTACATTGGCGTGAGATTGAGACACGACTTTATGTTGTGCGTTGCAGACGCAGGCATTCAGAGTCTAGCGACTTTTTTGGACCTTCTACTTCGAGGGTCGGGCGGACTTAGTAAGTAGGTCAATAATGGGGATAATCAGGGATACTATAGGGATCACTAACCTACTTACTAAGTCCCCTTGACCCTCCAAGTATAGCCCTCGTCCAGCGCATCTGGGTGTTCTCAACTATCCGAAGACTGTGGCCCGGTCAGGAAGAGACTTGTGCACTCCTGAAGATGCTAGCTGCTAGCCCTTCACGCGTTTGTGTTGGGGCACCGTGCTGCGCGTGCTCACGAGCCTATCTAACCAAAGATGGCAGATTGTTGCGGGAACGCAGAAAACCCCTACCCCTAAAGCCTAAATCCTAAACCCAGAACCTGTTTGTTTCCCAAAATGCGGGGTCCTTTTTGGGTGGGTCCCTAAAATCGGGATAACAATAGTTTGGGGTTTAGATTGGGGTCCCCCTATTGAAGGAAAGTACCCAGCTGAAATTCCTTTGAAAGCGCCAGGCAAGCTGAAGCTGCCCTCCCCAGACGTTGAAACGGCATCTTGTTCCGGCCTCGACTGGGTCAGAATTTGTATGCTTTCAGGTAATCCTAGGGATGCATTGGGATTACGTTGGGATAATGGAAAAGAAATAGAAACTACTAGGACCGCGGTGTACAGCCGCCCGTGTGTTTTCGTGCACTTTTCGGACTTTCAGCGGGTTTCCTTGTTCGAACAGTGAGTGCGATACCAGAGCATCCATGCCCAAACCATACTTCCGTTCGTCTTCGAGTGGATGCGACTACCAGAGCATCCATGCCCAAACCATAATTCCGTTCCTCTCGAGTGGATG